CTACTGAGCAGCTTCTAGCGATTCCACAAAGTGCTTTATCAGAGGTGCTTCCAACAATGGCAGAAACACTGGGAGATGTCTGTGGCTGCAGAAGGAGCATGCTTTGAAGGAGGTTAAGCCAAAACCCCTGTAAATAAACATTTTTTTTCCTACAGCATCAGTCTCGATACTTTTTGAACTGCCCTCATAAGGTCATAGGAAGTTATTGTCTATGATTGGCCTTAACTCAAAATTGTGTGATTTACTACTAGAATGCTGGTTTAAGAGTTAGTTCAGGATATGGGTCTGAACATGTCTGTAACTTGGATGCTACAGAAATGTCATGACAATTGAGAATAACAGGAAGGCACATCTCTGCATATATTGGCTGAAATCGGATAGAAATTGGCTCTATTTATGTAGGTATTTTAAGAACTTATCACTTCTTATAAGAAACAGAGCAGGATTCTAGAGGGGGAAGTGAACGCAGAGGGTCATGGTTAGGCAAATAGGAACTGGGAAGGTTATGAAGCATCTATAGGCATGCATCCCCACTATTGTCATTCTGGAGGAGACAGATACATGGGCAGATCTAGAGTTTTGACAACGCAGGGGCAGATGGTGAGGTGCATCACAGCATATAAAACAACAGATATTTTTCTCTGGTTAAAAAAAAACAAAACAAACAGCTAGAAGCATTACTAGTATGCTTAGGGGCTTAAAGCTGTATTATTCCGTTTAAGATTAAAGCAAAAACACAGCTAACTTCATTGGAATGAGTTCAAAACAATTCACGGGACTGTGGAATAGGAACTTCCTTACCAGGAGCAGCTGACAGACAGCAGAATAAAGGATTGCTCCACTGGTAGAACATCAAAACAATTAAAAAGAAGAGAAGGTCATTCATTAACACCTATGGAATGAAGAGTTTAGAAGGGATCAGGTAGATTATAATGAGCCATAAAGTCAATTGACTCCCTCAGCACGGCCTGACTAGAAATGCTGACACTACCGCCAGACAGTTGGTTTTAAACTTTGGGTGGAGCCGGAGTCAAAGTGGGGTGCAAGTGCACCAGTGCATCCCCCTTGGATACATGCCCAGCATTACTCCTTCTAACATCAGCCCCAATGTTTTAAATAATTGTTCTGACTTCCTAATATTGCTGTGAGTGAAATTAAATGAAAAGGTGACACTAAAGATCATTTTTGTGTAACTGACTTCTTTAAATGAAGCAATTGTGCTTTATACAACACAGTCAAAACTAGAGGGACAAACCAACCAGCACTCCAATGTCACCACAAAGAAAAGGCCATGAAAAATGTTCCTGTAATTGAATGATATACAGGAAGACTTATAGGATGGGTGGTGTTACTCACCTGCACCCCTTTATAGGGATGTATAGAGCTGATCCAACCCCTCCTACATAGAAGCATACGGAAAAATTTCATTGGAAAAAAAACAAAAGACCTGCCAACGTGCGACATATAATTCTTTGGCAATCCCTCAAAAGTTAAGGATGATTGTCTTTCATGATTGTCTTACCTGTTGTCATGAAGATGACTGATGAAGCCAATCTAGGATCGACAGACTGTGCTGCAACTTGGGCAGGTGTGTCTGCGTGGGGTGGGTTTTTTATTCTTAAATCGGTCTGCGACACTGTTTCTGCTGCTCTCACTTCTCTTTCTCCTGTTGTCATCATAAGGCTTCAAAGTACAGAGATCCTTGCAGCAGATTTTTCCTCTATTTGGGGCAGTCCTGGGCAATAGTCTCCCACGCGTTGATGTTGATTTTCCATGTTTCCAAGTTGGCCTTGAGAATGTCCTCGAAACACTTTCTCTGCCCTCCTCTTGAGCATACGCCTTGGCTGAACTGGAAGAATAAAACTTGCTTCAGGGGATGACATGGCCAGCTCAGTGACGTTGATGTTGAATGATCACTTTGATGCTTGTGGTGCTTGCTTGTAAGAGGATGCTAATGTTATTGTGTCTATCTTCCCGCTGGATTTGGGGGATCTTCCACAGCTAGTGTTTATGGTACTTCTCCAATGACCTGAAGGGATATATATCCCCGATGAGACAGGGATATAATTAAAAATTATTCATCTATCATGCAAGAGCTCCCAGAGGCTTTAGTGTATTTGTTCAATGTGTATCATAACATCCTCAGTATTAACTCTAACAGGTTTAGTACCAATCCCTGCAGTGATGTGACAAACAGTGTAACAGCTACCAGGGAGGACATCAGACTAGCCATAAATTTTCTGGTTGGCTTATATACGTGTCTAGATACTACACTCCCATTTCTAGTTGCTAGTAACATGTTAGCCAGCACAAAGCCGCCGCAAATCTAAGACTGAGACCCTACTGGGCAAGATACTGTTGTTTTTCTTAAGGCACTGTCCATGTTAGAAAATGTTATTGTCTTACCTGTGATCTGGGGCTCCTAGTCTGCTTGTATATTATGTATATTTTTATGTACGTTTATATTCGTATTATATTATATTTCATTATAACGTGACATGGACTAGTCTCCACCAGCACAGGTTAGTGCCCTGTTAACTAGGCTAGAGAGTCAGGCTACAAACAAGCATTGTCTTTGTCCTGTAGGACAAAGTGCAATCGTACACATCCATGTCTGTTGTCCTGAGATAAATCCGAAAAAGGTTACAAGATAAAAATGACTAGCAATTTACACCAGGACATGGCAAAGCGTGCCTCTAATGATTATTCCAGGATTGAATCAGTGAATCAATGGCAGAAAAAAAGAAAGATATTCAGCCTCTCACTAAACCCTGATTGGAAGGGTGATGTGTGTGCATGCCAATCCCAGGATATTTCTATTTTGGGACAAAATACAGGTATAACTTGTCCAGGTGCAAATGCAAGGTCTATTCCTCACCTCTGACAACTGGCTGGAGCTCAGGTCCAACAATTTCGACTTCTGGTAATGTTTAAAGAGCAAACTGAAGGAGAAGCGATGATTTTTTTTGGATTTAATTACCAATCTGAAAAGCTAACATGCATTTATAGGTAATCTAGCATGGTTTGTATAGCCTGCTAGAAATGAGCAAACAACAACACAATCATCAGTGAACAAAAACCCTGTGTACAAATTCAACAATGCCTCCAATCTTCCCTTGCAGTTGCTTCAAATTAAACAGACTTCCATCAGTCTGAATTATAATTTGGATTCAGGTGTCAACAAAATGCTAAAGAGGGTGGGTGCAAGAAAGAATGCTTATTTTAACACTCTTGGTTTGATACGGTTATCTTCACGACATCATGAATTGCTTCATCGCGGATATAAATTGGTTGGGATATCCATGTGTCGAGAAAGGCTTCCACACACCTTCTCTTTTCATAGGATCACATGCCTTGTGGCAGTCAGCCAAAACACAAGACAGGTCCTTGTTTTGCTCCCTTCACGTCTCTTGAAACGGATGTGCCTCAGCTATCACATCTCTTATTCCTTTTCCTTGCCTAAAGCTGCACGGACAAACAGGGAAGATTTTTGTTGTTTCCAGCCATATGGATTGTAAATCAGTTTAGCATAATTCTAGCAAACAATCCTGCCAACAACCACGCGCCCAATGTTTGTAAAACACAATCCAATTACCCATCTTCTTGTAAATGTGTAAATCTTTGAATTCCTGTAGAATCATTTCCCTGATCTGTATTAAAAGAGCTGTGTCAGTTGTTGCGTGACCAGGCCACTACAAGCCTTATAGTTTTTGGCAGGGATCCCATCAGTTCCTGATGCTTTGCCATTAGGGAGCATTTGGCTTCTGTTTTCAGATTCTTCTACTCAAGTCTCCATGGCACGGACGTGCTTTTTGCAGCCTGTTGAGGCAACGGTTCAGCAGCTGTTACTTTTCAAGGATTCTGGGTTGAGCGCATTTCTGAAGTGTTCGGTCCATCTTTCTAGGGTGTTTCCTATTAGTCAAGAGAGCATTTCTTTAAGATTTCGGGACTTGAGTCCTTGTGCCATTTTAAACCGAGCCATCAGTAGTGTGGCCAGCAGAACAGAATTGCTTCATATCACGCTGAACAGCATGCAGACATATCCACTTTCTTATCCCACCACATTTCGTATAATCCCCAAGTTTAGCTTACAATGCACTCTGCGAGCTTTTAAGGGTAAATACATTATGTAATAGGCTGATATACAACCTGGAGGGCTGATGGTAACTCCTTTTGTTGGCTGCCATTGCTTTTTGTAAAGGACTCTGATTCTTTTAGTTTACTGTCCTTTTAGAAAGGTTACTGGATGAATCTCTACAGTGGACACCATGTTTCTGATGGGTCATCCTGAGGCCCGGTCCTGTCGCAGCTCCTGGGAATCCAGCATTTTAATGAAAAAGGACCTGAATCAAGTGTTCTTCCAACGGATGCTGTACTCGAATCATTTGTCCTTTAGTCTACTGCAAAAGAAGGTGAATTTCTCCTGCTATTGGGTATTTGGTTGAGTTCAACCACAAAAAAGCTAGAAGAGACTGTATTCTAAACCTTAATTTTTAAAGTCCTAGCCCCCTGTATGTAATCTTCAGGCATATACAATAATGACACACTACACAATCAAATGCAGCAGTTCAGCAGCTACCAGTCCTTTTATAGGGGCATGAATTTGCTCTTAAATCAACCTCCATTGTACCCACAGACTGGAAAAGTAATCTTCTTCTACTGATTTCCTAGATCTGAATGGCAGGTTGGAGAGAAAGTTGTTGGAACAAATAACAGTAACTCACCCAAACTGCTTGGCAAACCTTGCTGTGCTCAAAATACTAATTGTTTTTCACTTTTCTTCCTTCTCTTTTATAAGATTGGGAGCCCAATAAAGCATTTGTTCCTAAATTCACTGTTTATCACAGCTTTCTGCCTTTGATTTAGGTTTTATTGGTCCATACTCCTGCCAGGAATACAACTGATCATTCGATCTGGAGCATTGTGTTTAAAACTGTGCAGTGAACTCTGATTTTAATGGTGACCCTCCAAGATTTGTACTGAAAATACTAGGTATAACAAGCTAAATTGTTGTCAATGGGTGAAGCTCCACTGACTTCTAACCCATGGAAGTCAAAAGTGAGACCAGTTTCAACTTACCTCCATTGAGACCAAGTGCATGATACCATGAAAGCTCCAAGTAAAATTTTATCAGATTGTAAGAACTAACCTCTTGGATCAGCCCTATGATTCATCTTGTCCTATGTCCCGTCTCTGACAGCAGCCAGTGCCAGGTGTGTCAAAGGAAGGTGCGAGTCTCCTATAGCAAGCAGATAAGGCTGCATCTCATACAAAGACATTACAATATGCTCTCTATTATCCACTTACATGTTTCTTATCCAGTTTAATATCTTGCTGCATTTTTGATGGCTGGTGCACATTGCAGAGAGATCTTCATGAAGCTGTCTTTAACGATGCCCTGCTCTCTTTTTTAAGCCTGTATGGCTGCTTTAATTTACAAAGGGATTGGCAACATGGAAAAGGTGGAGGACTCCAAGGCTGGATGAACTTTTTCCCCCCATCTCTAAAGTCTCCCAATCGTTATCCTAAGGAACATGAAGCAGTGGCAAAATTTCAAACCTGGAGACAAGGTTTCCAAAAAAGATGGGGTTTGTTCGCATTTCTAAATTCTCTATAAATGGATGTATAATGATGGTGCCAAACCCTATGAATAGATGTCTTGAGAAAGAAAAATCAAGCTATTCTCTTCTGTGGAGCAGTGTCACTTGTGTGGCCTAGTACAATGGGACATGGGTCTATTCACAGGGCTATCAGAAGCCACCTGTTTGACCGAAAACTTCATTTCATTGTCTGGTGCCAGGATTTTCCCTATGGGTAAGATGGAAATAATAATATTTGCTTCTTTTGTAAGGTGCTTTGAAAGCTATTGATGAAAAGTGCTGTAGAAAGCCAATATATATTATTTGTGTTTTTCTTATAGCAGGAGTTATCTTGGTGAGTTGTATTTCTCTCCTCTTTTTTTTTTTTTTCTCTCTCTCTCTCCAGGATCTAGTGTTTCAGTGTAACAGATGGCACTGCTTTCATCTTTTGTCAAAGCTCTTCTATCACCCAATGAAGCAAAACAAATTTATAATGGATTTTATTCAGGTGTCCCCACCTCAAGCCAGTAGGGCTACTGTACTGCAGGCATTTTTTGGCAGAGCAAAACAGGACTCTCTTTAGATCGCAATAGCAATGCACCCTATACACAAGAGAGCTTGGGCTCTGTTTAAATCCAGCATTAAAATTGTTATTAAAGACAGAGGGACTTTCATCTGTCTGACTGAGTCCAAAGAATGGTGGGTGTGATGTACGCTCTATAGTCTTAAAAAAAAAACCTAGTGAAACAATTGATAATGAATCTATATATATTGTAAAAGGAGGCCACACAAAGAGTAAATCAATCCTTGTTGCACACCTGCCATGGTTATGTGGTTGTGGCTGAGTCTTGATGATGAGAGGGTGCCCATACAGTATGGGGAAGAGATGCTCAGATATTAGCTGTATGTGGTTCCTCTTAAATGACTCCTTCCTAACTCGTGGCTCTTGTATGAATTCCTTCTCATGTGCCTACATAATTTTTTTTAACGGTTTTATACTGCAGTTAAAAAAATACTTATGCTCTCATGCTAGCTACTGTTTAACTACTTCACAGTTAGGGCGGCTAGGAGCTGGAACCAGCTTCCAAGGGAAGTGGTGCTGGCCCCTACCCTGGGGGTCTTTAAGAAGAGGCTGGATGCCTACCTGACTGGACTCATTTGAGTCCCGTCTCTTTTTGGGGTTTTTTGTTGTTCTCCCGCCCTGGCGGGGGTCGGGCTAGAAGATCTACTAGGTCCCTTCCGACCCTTAATCTATGAATCTATGAAAATATAAATTTCCAATATATTGGTGTCAGAAGATAACTTGTTGTAAGGTCTACAGGCAGAAATGAATGAAAATTTCCAGTCCGTCATGGAAATGATGCTTCCTACCTTTGAAATCTAGTAGCATCGTTACAGCAAGGGTTGCCAGGTAGCACTTGCACATAGCTGTACAAGGTCTTTTTTCTTAGCATTCAAGAAGCCCACTGTCTTTGAAGAGATGCTGTGCTGCTGTTTCTCTGTGGGCAGCTGTTGCCAGTAGCAAAGGAGTTTATTCTCCGCTTTAATCTCCTCAACTATGATTGATTCGTGGGGCAGTGTGGGTGTTTGGGAAAGTGTTGTTGGTGTTTAGCTTGCAATCTCTGAAAGAAAGGTGCGTGTGTGCGCTGTTTGTGATCACCTCTGCCCACAAAGATTGGTCCAGATAATGTGAAAAAACCCCACAATTATACAAAGAACATACCTAGACCCTGAATAACTGATTCCCTGTCTGCTGAGACACCACACCCAAAAGGCTTCACTATTTGCTTCTGTTTGGAAGATGTTTGACAGCATTAAAATCAGCGGGTGTTTTTTTCCCATCACTTTAGAAGGCCAAAGTCAAAAACAAATGAACTTCAGAAGACTGTGACTGCAAAGCTTCCTGAAGAGTTTCTATCAGCAATGTAATCCAGAGCATCTCCAAAACAAAAAACAATAAATAACAGTGATGGCAACTTCAGTGATTCTCAAAAGACCAGTTCAATCTTTCATACGTGAAGCCTAAGGTCAATACGATTGATTCACAGTTCGTATGTCCAGCACAGTGAACCAGTGTAGCAATGAGTTTTCCCTGGACATCTCTGACATTAATATCCTTACAAGTGAATGCAGTAATTAGATTTGACCTAATCATAGATGCACAGAAGAAAACTGTAACCCCACTCGCCCAGGGTATAATTCACCTTGCTCCTGTGTAATGCTCCTGGCAGGGTGATGTCTGCATTGCAAAGGATCTCTATGGGGAAACAACTTGCTGTCCACACTTATCATGAAGACCTATGGCTCTACCTACCAAGATGAGATAAACTCTTTATAAACTAAGTTAATGCAAACCAAAGTGAACACATGAAAACAAGTGGTTTTCGCCAGGCTTCACTTACTACTGGGGGTACACTCAACCCCCCAAATGCAAAATAGTCACACGTGATGTGAGCACATTGGAACCAAAAAGAGCCCCTGTTAATTAAAATATCCTAACTGAGTACAGCTTCCCTTGTACTATTATTTGTATTGTGGCAATGACTACCAGCTTCAACCTGATTAGGGCCCGATAATGCTAAATGCTGAAATAACTACTAGTTAAAAACAGTACCTGCCCCAAAGAGCTTACCGTCTAAATTGAGAATGTAACCCAAGGAGTGGGGGAAGCAAGTGTTACTACCATCATCTCTATTTGATAGACAGGGACTGAAACACAGCGGGATTAAGGTCTACTTCTACTCCACCTATTAGGCTCAAAAATAAACTTCAAGTTCTCAAGTTCGATCCTATTCCAACCTGCTCAAGTCCTTGAAATGCAAGAGGAGAGAGGTTCTTCCTCATCCTCGCTGCTTTTGTGACTCCGTATTCAGATGATGGGGGGTTACAAGGAGAAGATACGTGGATACAGGGGCGGACGAACTGTGGGACTCCTGGAAGGGCTGGGAGTTCAGCGGCACAGTGACATGGTGGCTTAGGGAGCCGTGGGGGCTAAATGCTGGTGTCACTCGCTCCACCGCAGTATGTCCAAGAATGGTCCCCCGCTATGGACTCATTTCAGTGGTAGGACAAGTGACAGTAGTGTAAAGCCCTGTATTTCAGGTGCTTCCTGCTGGAGGTCAGCTTGGATCCAGCCTACAAGGAGCCCTGTGGTCCGAATCTGGCCTGGAGGGGGGCAGGCAGACATAGGATACCCTTGCATAAACGGATGTTCAGGCCTTGAATGGGGTTGAATGCCCAATAGGTGGACAGGATCTGGCCCCAGGTGACTTGCCTGTATTCACACAGAGAGGCTTTGATAAAAGTTGAGAACTAGGCCCAGATCTCCCAAGTCCCTGTCTAACGTCTTGCTTATAAAAGTCACTCTCTGTTTTCCTGCATTAGTATTTTCTCTGCGAGTTAATTCACTGTTGAATCTGAATATCTTTGTCAGGTTCACCAAAGGCTAAAGG